TATGTGAATGTGGTCTTTTTCTCTAAATATCTTATTTTACTGTACACATGTGGTTGACTGTGAGTAACTGAAACTGCAGATAAGGGGGAATTCTATTATTCAGTTCTGATTTCTGACATTTGGGATTCTAAGCATCATCTCCAACTTAGGTATATACAATAGATGTAAGCTATTATCACTTAAAAAAAACCTGTCTTGCAGTGTGTTGTCAACATGTTCAACTGTTATCAAATTATGAATCCAGAAATACCTTATGTACCAAACATAACTACTTTATTTCTCAGTCATACAGGTTCTTTAAACTTGTGGATTATTTCCATTTAATTATTTGTAATTATATTTATACAAAAGGATTTTTCTTTTGCATTCTGTGGTATTCTAGAAATGACTTATTTTAGCATTCAGATATTACTAGGCACTTCAGGATATGCAAATATGGGTAAAAGAAACCACTCCAGGAGATGTTAAAACATGTATAACACAAATTATACTCTAAGACAATTTGCGATGAGTATACTTAAGTATACTTAAGAAACAACTAAAACTTCACAGAACTGGGAGTTTGAAAACTTTTTTGATAGTATATTAATAAAATGTTTTTGATCATGTACCCTTAATGTGTGAATACTAATGTACCAATATTATACATAACATATGTAAATGTAAACACATACATATACAAAATAATGAAATAAAAAGGGTAAAAAGTAATCTTTTCATACACCAGTGGAATATTTGGAGAATAGTACTAGAGAGCACAGCAAAGAAAGAAATCACTTTTGGCTGTGGTGATTCTGGCTGGAATGGCTTTATAGTAGAGGTAATGTTTAAGCCAAACTTTTATTAAGTAAGATCCTGACAGGGCAGCAGAAGGACAATTAAAGTCACTGCATGGAAGAACTTAAATGGGGAGAAAACACTGGCAAAAAGGGTCAGACATCTTTAGTGGAAAAGGAACACGGAAGAGAACATAACTTTTACTACCTTTTAAATCTTACAATATATAGTAGTGATTAAGAACACAAGAGTCTGGAGTCATAGAGACTCAGTTCACTGATACACTGAAATTTTGATATATTGATTCTGCTACTTATCACCCATGTAGCCTTGAGTAAATTAGTTTCCTCATCTATAAAATGAGAATGATAGTAGTGTCCATCCACCAGGACCATAGTAAAAATTAAATGCACTAATGCAAAGTAAAATAATCAGCACACTGCCTCAGTGAGTGTACAATTCTATGGAACATAACTTTTTTGTATTTTTTCCTAAGAGAAGGTGAGTTCCTTGAGAGCAACTAATATTATTTGCCACTTTATTATCCCTATTATCAATACTTTACTTTCAGTAGGCACTCAAGTATTGGTTTAATGTTTGATTAGGAGCTAAATTTGTGTGGTGTTGATCATTTGGGTAAGGAGTAGCAATAAACAAAAAGGGAATACCTGCTAGGGTCAGGCTGCGGAAAGTCACACAATCTGAGGAGTACAAACTTCATTCCAAAGGCAGTAGTAAACATTTTTAAGAAGGGAGGGGACTGCCTTAATACTGGACACTAAAATCTTTTATCTACAAAGATAAGTTTTTCTCCCCAAACTAAGGTAGATTAGAATATATTAATATTTTTATTTTGTCATAACAGATGTTTCATTCTTTGAAACATATCTTCCAGTCTCTCCCTTTTTCTGGTTCTCATTTGTTAATTCCGAGACTCCTTAAGATTAAATACCTAACTTTCTCTGTGATGTTAGGGATCCAGTCATTTCAGTTCCTAGACCACTTCTGATTTCCTTTAACAAGAATAAGACATTGCTAATTAATTAAAAAGATCCAAACCAATTGAATCAATACACATTTCCCTGAGGACTCTGATCCTTAGGCTTACAGATATGAAATTTTAAATCTATTAATATTTTAGAATTATTTGAATATATCAACCCTGACTCCCTTCCCCCCCCCATGTATTATTTCTATGTATCTCAGCCCATTTGGAATCAGATGAGGTAACACTGCACATCTGCATACCTAGAAGAGGGAGGTCAGTGTTTCTTCTGTATCCCCGCCCCTTCCCTCATTTGAAGCAGCTGTACTTTCCTTCAATTATTTCCTACAGTAGCAGGACTTGGAGTTCTGGAGGCCAACGGCTGCTAGCAGTGAGAAAAGGTGCCACCTTTCTAGGACAACTATCCCTTCATTCTCTGATCTATATATCACACTGTGGCCTGAACCTTACCTCCAGCAAACCACAGAATCCTAGGCCTCATTGTTTCAAATACTTGAGAAATACTTGTGATTCTGTTCCTAAGAGCTCCCTTTCATACAGTATCATTCAAAACCTCAAGCACTTAAAAACCCTGACTTCAGCATGATACCATTTATCCACATAACAAAAAAACCCTTAATTTTTTGGGGAAAAAAAATTTTGCAAGAATTATAATAATCTTTTAATTATAATCTAAGACCCATTAATAAAATATATATTTCAATAAAATACCCCAAAACCTCAAGCACCATTTTTGCCAGAGAAAATAACATTGATTGGGGTTAAAAAAAAAATAAGGCAAATTCGTACTGGTTTTCAAGTATTCAGCATCCATGTTTTCACTGGATTGGATAGGTTCTAGAAAGAACATTTCCTTAGGAAAGAGGAAACTCTAGGATTATACTGGCAAATATTCTCTGAGTCCTGTGTCTTCCTTCTTTCAGTGACTTCTAGGAAAGTTTCTTAAGCTGGTGAGATGGAACTGAAGTTCACAAAAGATACATAATTTTTAAAAAAGTCTTCGAAACACATCTGCTGGTAGAAAATGCGGCAAATAAAGTCTTAAGAAACTAAAGAATTGCTGCTAATAAGAAGAAAAAAAGACATGGAATGAGAGAAGAGTAGGGGAAGGTTCCAAAAGCCAGAAACTCTATGGCAAAAAAGGGGGGAAATTCAATCCAGACAAGTAGGTTTGTAAAAATTACTTTATAAGTCAGAAATTATCTCTGTGGGCAATTATTCTATGCACATAGTTACCTTCACTTCATCAAATAAAAACTGCTTTTTATATAAACTTAATCAACATAACACAATTGTTTCAATATTTCAATTAAAGAAAAAAATCTAAGTATTAAAATATAACCATAACCATACCTTTCTGTTCTCATCTCTGACACACACTCTAACCAAACAGTAAAAAAAACAAGGAAGATAACCTTGTATAGAACTAAAGAAAAAGCTGAATCATTACTCCTCTTCCAAACTACTTTCTGGATTTTATCACCGCCTCTCCACAATCTAACAATGACAACAAAATCAATGGAAAGTGAAATTAAATCTAAATGCTACCTATAATAGAAATATGATTCTATTATAGGGATAGAAGAAGGGAAGACAATGCAGTTTAGAGTGAATTATATGAAAACAAAAATATGAAGCTTACAAAAGTCAAAACCTGATTATTTAAGATTAAGACATTGTACCTGAATTAGTTCTATGACGGCACATCATCTAGAAGCTCTACAAATGAAGTCCTGTTAGTCTTTCATTAGGCATTCATTAGAAAACCCACATAACTGAAGTTCTAGGACTGAATCTCATTTAAAAAGACAATGATTGTTTTGTTATTGCAAAGTAAGCAACTGTATTCAAATGCAGCATAAAGGCAATATATAAGAGAAAGGATATGAATATCCTGAAAAAATTTTCATTCCTGGAAAAAAGCAAGAAATACCAATAAACACAAGAAACACTAGGCACAAATAACTGCTAGTTCTTTGGCAGAAAAATGAATGATGTAACACAGGGATAGTTTTAAGAACTACAGTAAAGATCTAGGCAAAATACTAAATGCATTAATTAGTAATAAGCTCACAGCAAAAAAAAAGTTCACTTCCATATTTTACTAATACAGATTTATCTGGAAAATGCCAATGTTGCTAAACTTGATCAACTTTAGTTGTTAAATATTCAGTGATCTTAACCACTAAAAAAATTTCTTTTGGATAATCCATATTGTCAGCATTAGATGAAAAATATGTTTGAATTCTGTAAAACCCTTTCCTTTAACGAGGAGATAAATTCAACAATAATCTTACTGTATCTTTTCCAGTATTATGAAGTTACACCTTTGGAAAACTTAAAATAGGTGGTAATTCTGTAAATAAATCTTTCCAATGACTTATCAATTAGCGGAACAACTAAATACAGCTAATGGAAAAACATTTAACTATCTGAATATGTTAAATCATACAACTTTTCTACTAAAGCAAAGTGGCATTTATCTCCTTAGCTTTTTAAAAGCTAATTCAAATAACTATACACATACACCCCAATAAGAACAATATTGGGTAGAAGTTTACTGACAGTTGAGGCAAACAGGCTAGACTCAAGGGCCTTACAAACATTTGTTATAATTTCCCCATGAAGAGATAGAATACTAGGTCAATTTTTATTTATATCCTAAAACTCCCAGACAGGTCTAATATCAATAGACCTAAGCTCTGGATGAAATATGCCTAAGAACACCAAGCTTTTCACCTTTATAGCACATTTCAGTGAGCCTTTACAAGTTACGCTTTCCAAGGCATGATTGAGCAAAAATGGAAACATTTTTTTAATACACTAGGAGCAAAGAATTTCATAGATAAAAATAATTTCTGAAGTATACAAAATGTCTGCCATTCAAGTCTCAGGTCAAGTGTTAGGTTGGCACAATTATTTGTTGGATAAATGAATTTCTCAGTATACATAACAGATCAAAATACACCAAGAAATAGAACAGCAAATTCATACACACACACACACACACACAGAGAAATATACATATATATCTAAACAAAGTTACCTGGATTACAGAATAGGTTCCAATTTTTTAAGGTACATTATTCCAAGTCCGAGGTGAAATATTTTGTTACTTTAAGGTAAATAATATATTTTTTGGAAAAAAAACAAAAATTACCCATAACAGACAACATTTATCCCACTTTTATATTAGTTAAAAATAATCAGATGAAACAACTTTGAACACAGCAATTTATTTATGCAGTTGTTTAAATCCATTGTTTAAAAATGTTCAAAAGGCACTTTAAAAAATATTTAAAAATACATTTTTCCGACTTATTGGTGATCACTTAAAATAAGCAAGTCACCAGACATTTTTAAACCATTCATGACACTATTACCTTAAATAATTTTTAAATTCCAAAACACAAACATTCACTAAGTAGTACAACACACTGCTTAGCAGTAAGATTAGTTTCCCTCTAATAATATACTTCATGTAGATTATTTTGCAGGGCCCTGCAAAGTTATTCAAACAACTAATATCAACTAAAAACTAGAGATGTAAGGGAGTTGAAACAGAGTACAATCCAAATCTAAAACTAGTCTTAGAGTTGCTGTCTCTAAAGAGAATTTGTAAAATTTCTTATTCCAATCTGTGTTAAAATATCTATTTCAACTCTGATGTATAAACATAACTCATTTTTTTAGTCAATAGAGGTAACATTTAGCATAAAATATACCACAGGTTTTCCCCAGATTCCTTAACTATGTGTTTCTGTCAGGCCTACTAAAAAGTAGAGAAATGAAGCAAACGAGTGTTGTTTTTTTGAGAAAAGAGCAGGGGATCCAAATAATTTTACTTCCTTTGATAATTGTACATTAGGATTAGTTTAAAATGGCAGATTTTTTTAGCACGAATATTTTAATTGTCTAAAATGAAATTTTAACAGTTATCTATAGCTTACAGGTCACTTTTATGAGGTGGCACATCTATCACCCTCTTAAGAGACATAAAATTATGAAAAGATATCACCAGAAGCTACATTAACATTTCAGCTAAGGGCCAAGAAAAAGTTAAGGATTGTTTCTATAACAAAACCAAAGAATCAGAATGAAGCAAGTTCAACATGGTCATACAAATTTTGGTGAAAGAACTAGAGTGGAAGCCCAAGCTAATGAGCAAGGGGGAGGAAAAAAGAAAGCATGGTTCAAACGGATCACATTAGGAATGTAGCACAAGTATCCTGAGAGCCAGCAGGCATTATATTTTGACAGACTTGACTTTCAGTCTCATAGGGAAATCTAGTTAGTAGGTATAAAATTGTCAGTAAGTGACACAAATTCTAATCATTATTACCTGCCAAATTAACTTTGCAAAGGCAGCATTAAGAGTAGCTAAAAAGTGGAAGTTAGTTATAAAGGAAATACAAAAAGACAATAAATACAAAGAAGCAGAAACTGTCAAAGACAGAATAATAATCTAATGAACTGAAAATTAAAACGATGAATAAAATGCTAGATATGATCTAATCAAGTGAGGGATTCTTTCAAATAAAATAGTACTTTAATCTAGTAATAGTTTGATAGGCTCAAAGAAGTGAAAAATTAATACTCAAACAATCATGAAAATAATCAGTTAGCATATTTAATGCTCAAATCCAATTACCATATTTTAAAAATATTAAAAACTGATCAGTGATTTATTTTCATATCTTATTACAGTAATAAAAACTACTCAAACTTCATAAATTGAAATCTATGGTATCTGAAAACAAATAAACTATGGGACAAAAACCTGCTTTGTATCTATGAACTTCCCACTTGAAAATACAAGTATTCTGTTATTAGAGAACACAGGACATCAGAAGCCTTATGTTCTGAGACCATCCTAAAATCATTTATCCAATAACAAAGACTTTAAGAGATGGTAAATAAATCATCATCATGCAACCTAGTTTTATGTGCTCTATCAAATACTTGGAGATTTTTTTTTTGCTTTATTAGGTCATTAAGGACACTCAAATGATCCTTGAAAGTGATGAAATTTTAACTGACAAAATGATTAGTAGAAAAATGCTCTGTATGCTATAAAAGAGCATTTTGCTACTTAAATATTTTTATTAACAATCCTGGGCATTTCTGATGACACTCACTTATGTATGCTTTTTATGAATTAGTATGTACTTACTAGTACTTAATGAACCCTTCCTGTCTCAATGTAAAATTACTAAACTTGGAAAATTACAGATTTTATTGCAGGCCCTGATATTAGTCACTGTGGAGAAGCTAAAAAATTCTGCCAAAATGAATGATCCACTGACCCTTTAAATTATCTTTAAAGTATTTACATTTACTGTAGTGTGATCCTGGACCACACTGATTTAAAGCATGCTTTATCTAAGCTTTTGAAAAATACCTTAGTCACTGGCAGTAATCTTCAGTGTGTTCCAAAGACTATTTGTACCAGAATCACATAGGTAGTTTGGAAATGGTTCTCAAACTAGGATGAATAAGACTAACTTTGTAGGGCTTGTTTAAACACAACTGCTAGCCCTGTCCCTGTTTGATTCCATAAATCTGGGGTGGGGCCTGAGAGGGTATACTTCCAAGTTCCCAGGTGATGCTGATGCTGCTTGTTGGGACCACACTTTGACAACTACTGTCCTAGCGTATTTGGTAAGATTGCATATTCCTGGGCCTCATGCTAAAAATCAGAATTTTTGGGATTGGGGTCTTTAGAAGTGCATTTTAACAAGCTCTTAGGCAAGTATGAGAACCACAGTTTTAAAATCACTCTCACAATCTGGTTGGTTAATTTGACTTATTACTGGACAATGTATCAAGAGTCACATATCGTATCAGTAAAAAATGGAAATCACGCTAAATGACTAACCCCAAGCTTGATATGATTCAAATGAACACACTGAGTTTGGGCATAAATTCTAGCTCTGTAACTTACCAGTTTTTGTGACAGTGGAAAAGTTACATTAATTCTCTGAGCTTCATTTCCTCATCTATAATGTGGAAATAACACTCAATTTGTGAGGATTAATACTAGTGTAACACAGATTATCTAAGCACAGTACCTGGCATATAGCAGGCACTAGATAAATACTATTATCATTATAAGAAATGTATGAACTAATTCCTTCAATACCTGATTTGATCAAAGCAGATTTGCATTAATTTAAATGAAGTATTTACACTCCAAGATAATAGAATAATAATAAAACCTTACACCTATTGCTCCCTATTCTGGGGCAGACAGTGTTCTAAGAACCTTATATATATTCACTTACTTAATCCTCAGAAAAATCCTGTGAGGTAGGCAGTATTATTATCCCTAATTAACAGATGAGGAAATTGAGGCACAAAGAGATTAAGTAAATTGCTCAATGTTACAAAAATAGTAAGTGATGGAGCAAGAATTCAAACCCAGGCAGTCTGACTCCAAAGCTTAGGATTCATCACAACATTTATTTCCTATGGGTAAATCTTAAACATTTTTTCATATTTATGGCAAATCACTTCTAGTAAAGAAAAACAACATATATGGAAATTCATGTCCACACCACTGTGAAGAGCTGTTCTAAGAATAGAATGAATGCCTTGAAATTTTGGCAGATGATACCACAATGAGAACAGCAAAAAACAATTTAATAGGTAAAAATTGGTGCATGTTTTCATTATGTGGACAGAATTAGGCAATGAAAGGAACATCCTCTCAAACACATCCAAAAGAGTTCATGATTTTGACATGTTTTGGCACAATAAATATAAATTATTCAGCTAAGCAGCAGTCAATGGTGTCACAGCCACGTAAAATTAGCATAATGATAAACATAAGGAAAATCTAAATCATTTGTAACACTAAAAATAATCTTATAGAGTGTTTGTAAAATATTCTGCTATGATACACTCAGATAGTATTGCTAAAGACAATAAAAATTAAAAACTTTCTTTCCTTTCAGAAACTCTAGAGTCACTAAAATTACAATGAGACATTTGTGAATGTTTTTGATGGCAGTCTTGAATAGGTATTCTGCTCTGTTAGAATTACCCACCAACAAAACAATTATCCCAAAAGTCAATCAGCATCAAACTTCAGACTGTTATTCATAAATTAACTCTGGTCAAAATCTTGCATTCAAAATAATCTTGCCGGTGTAAATTAACAGCCACCTCAGATCCTAAAATAAATTTTAAAACTCTGCTTTAAACAAGTTATGAAAGGCACAAACAAGTTCTCATCTTTCAACAGGATGAGAATGAAAGAAATTATAATTATGTAGTTGGAAAGAGTTTTACATAATCAATTAAAAATGTCAGAAATTCCTGAGAGTGGCACTGATATAAGAAAAGCATCCCCAAATACCATTAAATTTGCTACTTAATAATTACCCATTATTAATAATGGGTAAATTTGGGAACAAATTATAAAATGCATGTCTACAGAATGCTATTAATGCTTTGAGTAAATAAATACTAATAGTGGAGAATGGTATTCAAGAGTGGTTAACCATATTTAGAAAAGAGAAAACAGGGACTCAGTAAAAGATTACTAATTAGAACCAAGTATATAATATTGTCAAGGCCTGTAATAATTTCAAAATGTGGTTTTATTAATGCACTTTAGAATAAGTGCCATCCTTATTCTACCTTATTCTGGAAGAAATACTGCCAATTATAAATAATCACAGCAAAATTTTCATTAGACAAAAACTGTATTTATGTGTGTGGAGAGTGGTTCATTTATAGCATACTGCAAATATAAACTCATTTCTTGAGTTTATTAACAACACTGAGTGACAATATTTCTTTCTAAAACTTTCTTTAAGGCAGATCTGTTTAGTATCATGTGTGTTAATAACATGGTATAGTGTGGTTTTAGCAAATTTAATTGTTTTAGTTTCTCAGTGACAATAGATATGGTCAAAAATAGGCAACAAAATCTCTTTTCTAGTTTCTCTACCTGGCCACCTTTTTAAGAACACAAGTTCTTCATATATATATATGTGTGTGTATATATATATATATATATTTTTTTTTGTATATATTACTGTATCAAAACACATTTTAACAGACTTCACAGCTCATTTAAAGCGTCAGTTTACAGTCATTCGTATGAAAGATTTCTATATGGAATGTTCACTTAGAATTCCTCACTGGGATTCCAGTGTTCTATGTTAGAAATGCAGAAGTCCTCCTTCAGTGCAATGCTGGGCATTTACTTCTGTTCATTCATGTTTTTCTTTCAAGGGTTTCCTAATTTTACTTTTGGATCTTCATTTTTGTTTGCTTGATTTATATCCTTTAGTATATTTTCAGGTAAGGCAGGTTGATATCTGTATAAATAACCATATGGACGAAGATGATAAACGAGGTATTCTAACTCATACATAGTTGTAGGATCAACATAATGAAAAGAAACTGCAAGATCAGAACAGCAACCAGGACCCTAAAAAAGTAGTGCAAACAGGCATCGTTAATAAACAGCACATTTACAACAGAACATTGTAAATATCATACAATATTCATATACTTATAAAGGACACATTAATTTTAAAAGAATTCAAGCATTCAAACTGGCAAGGTAAACCAGAGGAACACAGTTTATTAGATCTGTGGAAGGAATCAACAGTTCACTACTAGAGTTTCTAACGACTCGAAACCATGAAGTAGGTAAAGTATTTCCGGCTTAAACAGTATTTTCTCACACTCTTCAGTGTTTTAGCAGATAAAATTCTTGGGACTTCTTCAAATGAAAGGGGCAAGCTATACAAAGGATAAGACTCTATTTCTTCAACTTTTGCTTTTTCTTCCTAATTTTCTCACTGTAATTTTTTGCTTGGCTCAGTCTCAGACACCTTTTTAGCATTTAATGACTACAAAGGCTTTCCCATTAGGTTTCTACAATCTAATACTTCATCTATAAGTCAATCCAAAGTGTATACTATTTGAGATGAAGCTCTCAAGCCAAACCAGGGTTTGAATCCAAATTATGCCTACTAGTATACAACTTTGGGCAAGTTACTTAATCTTTACAAGCTTCAATTTCCCCATGTGTAAAAGGTAGTTACTTAAGACAATGTGTGTAAAATGCTTGAGAATATGCTTTGTTATAATAAATGCTCGAATAAATGTCAGCTATTATTGACAGAATAATTACGTCAGCCCTCAGCTTAAGTAGGTGAGATTGAAACCTTTGCCAGCTATATAATTCTCATAGATTGCTAACAGGGTTGGTGTGAGAGCAAGTTTAAAACTATATTACAATAATACAACAAACAAAAAGGAATGAGAGAGCAAGAAAATAAAGAAAATACAATTAGACTGAGCCCAGAATTAAAGAGTTACAAAGTCAATCTAGGATCAGAATTGGTATCTGGAGAATTTCCTCTAGGTTATTCCAACAAAACTTCAGACTCTATCTGATGTCTTTGCAAGGACCAAGCGAGATACAGTCTGGCAAGTTCCCAAAAATGAACATTTAATAATTCATGTTTGGAAATATGTAGTTTACGGCACAGTAAAAATTAGCAAGAAATTGTCTAGTGCATTTTCTCTAAATTTTCTCTTTGAACAAACACTGGATATGTGGGATTCTAAGAAACCACATAGATGCTGGAAAATTATCTCATACCTACTCTTTACACCTTTAGGAAATATTAGAATAGAAACAAATATGAAAAGTAAACGGGTAAGTCAACTTGTGATGGTCTCAATCAGTTCTGTCCAATAGATGTGAACCACATAATGCATTTAAAAATTTTCTAGTAGTCACATTAAAAATGTGAATAGGTGAAATTTGAACATATTTTAATTGAAAAAATTCAATCGTATTGTTTTAACATGCAATAAATATTTTTAAAATTATTAATGAAATCATTGTTTTTATTTTGCTAAGTTCTTGAAATCAGGTGTGTATTTTGTATTTATAGCACCTCTCAATTTGGACTAGCCACATTTCAAGTGCTCAGTGGCCACCACACGGGCTAGTGCATGTTAAACTAAAGCCTCCAGATCCCCAAGTGTAGCCCCTCAACTGAATCACAACTTCAAAGAACAAATCCTTTTATTAATTTGGATTCAGTCAAAAGGCCGCACTCAAGAATACAGAAGGCGACAGGTTCCTCACCCCTGGACTAGGGGTTATTTTTAAATTGCTGGTCTTCTCTGGAAATAATTTGTATATGCTCTAAAATATTATAATAATGCTTTTGATAAGATTTACTGCATAAATTATGTTATCTATTTTATTTTTATTTTTTACTGGATGGCCAGAATATCATTATTGTTAACATTATAAATAATAAAACCTCTATAAGAAAACAAAATATTTTTTTGCAGATGATTACATTTACCCAAAAAACTCAAGAATCTCAGGTGAAAAATCATCAGAAATAAAGAATTCGGTTACAGAGCCAGATTTTAAAGATTTAAAAAAGAAAAATGTTTCACATATACCAGTTAAAAAGGTAAGTTTTTTTTTTTTAAAGTCCAAGTAGAAGAGTAATAAAAATATTACATACTTAGGGATATAAAGATCTGAGAACTATAAACCTTTAAGAAGAGATCTTTTTAAAAGGCAAGTTAAAAAAAAACTAGGCAAAAATGTCATTTTCCTTAGATTAATAACTTAAAAATATTAGGTGGGTATGGTGGTATGCGCCTGTAGTCCCAGCTACTTGTGAGGCTGAGGCAGGAGGATTGCTTGAACTCAGGAGTTTGAGGTTGCTGGGAGCTAGGCTGACACCATGGTACTCTACCCAGGGGAAGAGACAGAGACTCTGTCTCAAAAAAAAAAAAAAATTATATATATATATATATATATATATCTTGTAAAGCTACAAGGTTCAAAACAATATGATGCTGGATGCTTGGTCTAACACCAAATAAAACAAGGGCACAGAACTGAAATCCTGAAATCTCAGATATAGATCCTACTATAAGTAATACTATAGTGCATGATAAAGGAGCTATTTTAAATCAGTGATGGAAGTAAGTTAAAAAATAGTACTGGAACAATTTGAAAAAATCAGGAGTTATCTCAATCATGGACTAGTATGTTTCAGATAAATTAATGTAAATAAAATTGAACAGAATAAATTTATAAATACATTTGATCATTTCCAACTTACAAAAAAGACAGTTTCTCATGTAGAGGGATATATATGTGAATAATTACACATCTATTTTAAACCTACTGTATTAAGACTCATTGCAAAATCTCTGGTGAAAAAAAGTCTATTCCTAAAAGACTTCTACGGAAGTGAGGAGGTGGTGTAGGAAGGGAATTGCATGAAGAGTCAGTTCTGAACAAGCAACTTAAGAACACAACTGTTTGATAAATCAGAATATCTTACACCCTAACTTGTAAAATAAAAATTTTTGATGGCCAGGCCCAGTGGCTTATACCTATAATCCTATTACTTTAGGCCAAGGCAGGAGGATCTCTATAGGTCAGGAGTCTAAGACAAGCCTGGGCATCATGGTGAGCCCTGTCTCTACAAAATATTTTCAAAAAAAAAAATTAGCCAGGTGTGGTGGCATGTGCCTGTAGTCCCAGCTACTTTGGAGGCTGAGGCAGGAGGATCGCTTGAGCCCAAGAGTTTGAGGCTTCAGTGAGCTATGGTGATGCCACTGTACTCTAGCTTGGGTGACAGAGTAAGACCTTATCTCAAAAAAGAAAAGAAAAAAAAAATTCTATATTGTATTTTTAGTAATTACTACATAGAAAAAGTGTTATTTATAAGATTTAGAATGGCTGTGAAAATAGTAACTCCCTAAGGGAGAAGAAAACTTATTAAATGATAGGTGAATAATAGAATTTTGATTTCACATTGAGTTTACTTAAGAATCTACTAATGGAGAATAGGCAGCATTAGGAGGTTGGTACTTCAAATTCTGTTTAATAGTCTTCAATACAATTGGATACATTTTTCTAGAAAGAACAAACCTTGCCATATATTTTTAAAAACCATCATAATTTAAATGAAAGATGCACTACAGAAATATTTATTTTGCTCATATAAAGCATATTGTTAGGCATACCCTATTTGTAAGTAGAAATTGTGGGCAGTACTCTTAAAAGGAAGAAAGGCTATTTTAGTAGTTATAAAATAATGACAATTATGGTGTCCCTTTGCTATTATCCAATATCATATACTTAGTAAAATCTTGTATGCATTTTGGTATATTTGTTATACGCTTTGTAATGTTCTTGAACTTGGATATTATTTTTATATGGGAAAAGGCTAAGTCATCTTGGAATGGTAAGAATATATTATGAAAAGTTTACAACCAAAATCCAAAAAGTAGCCGAAGTAATACTTTACTAAAACCTGGTCAAGAAAAATAGACCATCAAAAGGCAGATTGGGAAATACATCTGATTTCATAGTCTAAGAGTCTCATTACATAGAACTGAACTTAGTGGAATTTTACTCCAACAATCGAATATTCTAACATATTGTCCTTACATCTTGTTTTTGTATATATACCATTAATCAGAAAGAGGAGCTCATGAGTAGTATAATGGAAATATTAGATCATTAAGCTTGATAGTTGATATCTCTGACATTTCACTTTGACATTTTTTTTTCCTGAAGGTACATCCTCAGTCTTTTAAATGCACTGTTGGGTTTGTGATTATCTTTCACATTATTAAAGCAATTTTTGTCCAACCATGGATAACTCAAAAATTCACATTATTTTGGAATATAACTTCCATCATGGAATCAATGCAGTGCAGACAGCTCAAAATATCATCACAGTGTTTGGGAAGCATGGGGCTAATGAACACACAATATGTAAATGGTTTGAAAAGTTCCATTCTAGTGATTATAATCTTGAAAATGAGCCATGTGGGTGACCTGAGACCAAGGTGGATAATGAGGAGCTGTAACCTGTGGTGGAAGTGAACCCATCTCAACCTATGGGCGAATTAGCAGCAAGGTTTGACGCTACTATTCCAACAATATTGGACCATTTGAAATAAATTGGCAAGGTAAAGAAGCTGGACAGATGGGTACTGCATGAATTAAAGAAGCATCAGAAGAGAAATGGTCTCAAAGCTTGCCTTTCTTTGCCGTCACGATATAAAGGCAAACCATTTCTACACTGTATTGTTACGTGTGACCAAAAATTGATTCTTTTTGACAACTATAAGCATTCAGCACAATGGCTGGATAAAGGTGAAGTGCTGAAACACAGTCCAAAACCAAATATTCCTCAAAAAAAACCAACAAAAAAAACTAATGATGTCTGTTTGGTGGTCCAGTGCTGTTTGGTGTATTGTCCACTACATAAAACCTGGTCAATCGATACAGTGGATGTCTACTGTAACCAACCGGACAACATGATGAGGATGCTTGCTATTAAGCAGCCAAGACTGTTCAGTAGAGACAGGCCAATCCTCTTGCAAGACTATATGCCACAAAAAACAATGATGCTCAAACTACAGAGGTTGGACTTGGAAACTCTCTCTCACCCGTCACACTCACCAGACCTTGCACCAACTGCCGACCACTTCTTGCAAGGAAAAATATCAATTCCAAACAAGCTGTGGAAAACAGCTTGTTTTGCAATTTCATCACTACTCACTCTCCAGGCTTCTTTGCTGCTGGCATAGATGGCAATGCTGTGTCAATAATGTTCATGCATACTTTGATTAACTGTACTGCTTCTTGTTTGACATATAATAAATTTTTAATTCAAAATCGGACATTCCATATTTAATGACCTAATAACTAAGCTTTTAGAATCAAAGTGGTTTACAACACTGCCTAGACTACTATAAGCATAGGAAAGTTAAGTAACCTCAGTTAAGTAAGCCTCAGTTTTGTCACCTGTCAAATGCATAATTACTATAAAGATTAGCTATCCGTGTGTCTGTATAAGCACTTAAAACACACTGGTGGTTGATAGCTGAAGTAGCAGTGACTTGCTTCAAAGTTTCTTTTTAAAGCTGATTACCTAAAGCTTGGGTCAGATATTCTAGGCCAGGGTTTCTTGACCTTGGCACTACTACTGACATTTTGGCTTGAATAATTCGTTGTTTTGGGGGCCGTCCTGTGGGATGTTTAACATCTGGTGCGTTTATAATCCAGTGGGTCTCTACTCATTTGATGCCGGTAGCAACCTCCTACTTATAAAAACCATAAATGTCTCCGAATCTTGCCAAATGCCTCTAGGGGTTAAAACTGCCCCTGGTTGAGAACCACTGTTCTAGATATTGATTTGAAAGCACCAGCTTGTGAAGAGAGTAGCAGTAGCATAAAGTGTGTTATTTATATATTAGGGCTAGAGAAAAGATATAGAGAACTAGTGACTTGCTTAATCAGTAACAGAGTCTAAAAGCTAAGTTTCATGGTTCCTAGTCTCATTCAGTAATTCATTGCAATTAGTGAAAAACTATTAAAAAAACCTACCAAATGCATTATCAGCAGGAAAATGGACAAATTATAATATATTCATGAAGCAGACACATTAACATTGATTACTCTCAATGTGTAAAAAGAGCAAATTGCAGAAAGATGCATATATGGTTTGATTCCATTTATTTAAAAACCTGCAAAACATTACTATATATTATTTATGGATATGTAAACATGTAGGAAAAACATGCACAATAATATTTAATTCATGATAGTGGTTAACTCTGGGGAAGGAAGTAAGGGAATTGGATTGGGGAGGGTATATAAGCCTCAACTGTATCTATAACATTTTTTTCTTTCAAAAAACTCAGAAGCAAATATAACAAAAGATTCATATTTGATAAAGGTGGTAAGTATGAGGTATATTATTCTCAAATATTTGTATACCTGAAATATTTCATAAAATAATGTACCTTAGATAAAATTCTCGGGAATGTAAGCTAAGGTGTCAAATGAGAGCCAAGGCTTATTAAATGCTTACTGTGTGACAGGGTATACTACACTTTAATTACAAAGATTAAATGAGACAGGTATACCAGGTCCATTTTATAAATGAAGAAATTGAAGCTCAGAAATCAGACAAATTCTGTCCATCCAAGGTCATTCAGGTATTAAGTGGGAGAGCAGGATTTGAATATAGGTCTTTCTGAACTTCAAAGTCTTTTCATGTCTTATTCTTGATGACTAGAAGGCTCTTTACTCAGATATTCATACAGCCTGCTCTCTACCCTCCCTCAGGTTTCTGCTCAAAAGTTATCCGTAGGAGACGTAATCTTTAATCACCCAAAGCAGAGTACCCCAACCCTGGGTCATTCTTCATTCCCTTACTTGGCTTTATTTTTCTTTAGGGCATGTACTACTAGATAAAATTATATTCTATCTTTATTAGTCTGCCTTCTATTGTATTTATTTCCATATTCTCAATGCCTGGCATATAATGGCACCAATACATACTTGTTGAATGACTACAGCTGATGTCCTCGTTCTCATCTACTTTGTTATACTGCCACTCTATACAAAAAGTCTAAGGACGACTCCTATTACTATAGAAATATACACATATTACTTTTCATCAACAAGTCAGTTCAAGTATTTACACAGTAATGAAATTTCTAAACTTACCTCTACTGGAGGATAATAGTTATAATTCCAATACCAAAAGGTTCTGGGTAGATAACCTTTGATTAAATGGTGTTCTGGTACAAAGGGATGAAAAGTTTCTTTTCCAGTGGTATCTCTGGAATCTCCTGCTTCTACATTCATAATTTCCATGCATCTCCCGAGTGCTAAGTCTTCGATGGAGGAACTATGTGTACATTTTTCTGTTTTAAATGCATCAATAAATCTCTTCAAGGCTTCTCTGCTCAGTACATATCCTGCTCCTCCACTCATGTAGCCCTGCTTTACATAGGGCTTAAATCTTCTCCCAAAGTAAATGGGTTCTTGAGGGTTGTATTTGGAAAGAAGCCATCTCAAGTTGTCCACTACGACATACGTATCATCATCTGCTTTCAAAAACCAATCAGCATCTTCTAAATAATTGTCATAAACATACTGAAAGGCTCTAATTGTTTTCCAGTATAGTTGATCTCTGCCTTCTTTGGTTTTTAATCCCACAGCAGGGAAGTCTTTATTTTCTTCTGAACTCATGAACAACACTTTATTACAACGCTGGGCCCATGTAGCTTTGACGTGTTTGGCCTTTTTTTCCAGATTTTGAGGGCCTGTCATAACCCAGCAAAGAATTCTAACTTTCTGGTAGAGCTTTTCAGCGATGTCTGTGTTCTCATCTATTAAACAAATATTTTTAAAAGTTATATTCACATAGATATAAAATCCAAATAAAGTGAAGAAAGCATTTTTTTAAACAATTTCAAAGACCCTCCTCCTATTTACCCATCATTAGTAATTTACCTGAAAGAAAGCAAAATTCAACCTAATGTAAACTGACACTGATTTATTGGTTTCACCTTATCTAGGACATTAGTAGAGCTAAGAAAGGTTGACAATGACCTGAATTCTTGCCACTTGAACTGTGTGGTTTACTGCTCAAAAGCATCAGGGTCACCTGAGAGCTTGTTAGAAATGCAGAACCTCAGGCCCCAACCCACTGAATCAGAATCAGCATTTTAACACGTTCTCCATGATTCATAAGCACATAAAGTGCTGCCTTAAAAAGTCTCTGCTTGGCACTTCATAATACAAAGAAAACTTCAGCTGGTTTTCAACAGATTGACAAGAATTTCTCTCTGCTTTGAACAAGCTTCTGAAGGACAGTAAAGACATGCTGCTGAAGTGGCAATTCATTTTTGAAGTTCACAAGAGTCTTGCTATGAATTTCTACAAGTACCCTGAGGTGGCCTTAAGGGATTTCAAGATTACCCCAGTTCAAATCACAGGAGTTAATGAAAGGTTGAGATTACTTCCTGCTAGTAATATACCTCATTTGAAAATGCGAATCCACCAGTCAGAAACAGAACTGGCAGATGGGCTTTCCAAGATTGTCTAGAGCAGTGTTTTCCCAACTACCAGTGTGCAAAGAAATAAGGAGCTTATGCCAGAATATAAAGCAACATACTACTTCTTTCATCAAAGGCCTGCTACCAAGCAAAAAGTCCACTTAACTAAGCAATGAGCTTAGGGACTTAAACTAATTTACAACCTGGTACAAGCTCCTTATCTGAGTGCAGACAAACAATTTATAGACTGACAGGCCAGGACCACATTTTGAGTACCACCAGTCTAGAGGTAAGTGCCCAGTTGTAAGATTCTAGACAAGTGCTTTTCAAACTATCTGTGGTAAAAGACCAGTTTTTATTCCCAATAGTTAAGAGACCTACACTTGAAGAATTACTAGAAAAATATAGCCCTAAGTTTTTCTTTAGATTCAGACAAAATTACTCTAATTATCATAAAAGTTTCTGCTTACTCCCAAGTAAGCAAAATTTCGTTAGCTGTAGACCAGCACAAGTCTACAAACCACACTGAATAGCAACGCTCTAGGTGGTAGCCTGAGGAAGCATACCATTAAAGTTAAGGTCAAACAGTGAGTTACGAAAGCTCAGTCCTGTGAAAAACTAATAGAGGTATAATATGCTAGTTAACCAATTGAGGGAAAATAGAAACAAAGGCTGGGTAGCATATGAAAACATTCTCATGCCCCCTGAGTATCAGTAATTCAGAATCCAAAAGGACAGGAGAAAAGTCACCCTATTGTTAGTAACAAAGTATTCGTATCTCATATACTTGAGGAGCTCAGTCTCTTAGCAATACAGATATACCAAATTCTGAATGGATAGAGAAAACAGTATATGCAGGAATCCCCAATCTGTTTCACTTAGGACAAGACAACTTTCTCCTCACTGCTGGGATCTGGTATTATAGATACTCCCATTCTTTCAATTATTCATTAATTACTTTGTACCAGGTATGTGCTGGTACAAAAGATGAAAAAGTGAATAAGACACATTTCTGTCACTGAGGAATTCACAGTCTAGTAGGTCAGCTTGACATGCAAACCAGTAATTACTACATACCAAGAGATGTTGTAATAGAGATATGTACAGATGGTTCAATGGGCTGAAGGAAAAGAAAGTAGTGGCTGATAAATCCTATAGAGCAGTGGAATAGGGACTTGGGTAGAACAGAGAAGAAATGAGAAAGTGATAATAGAAAAAAATAAGAGATGATGCAGAAAACAGGTGTTTAAACAAATAAAAGCTCACCAAAACAAAGGACAAAAGGCATGGTGAAGTCTGGTTGAGTGCAGGTACATGGGTTTAACCGAAGGCTTGAATTAAGGGAAATGCATTGTGGAATAAGAGGTAGAGGCCTGAAATATGGTAAAGTAGAATTGTTAGAATTTAGTGACAAATGGGATTGACTGATATGGGAAGGTAAGCATCTACTATGATTTCATAGTTTCTGGCATAAAGAATATAGGAGGAAGAACAACTTTCAGGAGCAGGGAGGAAAAGGACATTCAACTTACACAAGTTGAGTCTGAGGGGAATAGATAGACTTTTAGCATACCCCACATTTTGCAGGCCACTGAGCAGGACAAGTATGTATCTATTAGGTCAATAAATATGAAATGTCCAATTTCAAATCAAAAATTTAGTTTATCGCATCTCAAACAAGATGTAGTACAGTTAATCAAAGTATGCACCAACTATCAACACAGTGTTGCCATCTTAAGGGTAGCTTGTTTAGGCCACCAGTAAAGAAGCCTAGAGAGTGAGTGGTGATGAAATCGCAAAAGGCGTTTTCCACAGCTTGTTAAGAATTGAATATTTTTCCTTGCAAGAAGTGGTCCAAAGCCTGGAAGAAGTGGTCGGCAGTTGGTGCAAGGTATGGTGAGTGTGACGGGTGAGAGAGAGTTTCCAAGTCCAGACTCTATGGTTTGAGCAGCATTGTTTTTTGTGGCATATAGTCTTGCAAGAGGATTGGCCTGTCTCTACTGAACAATCTTGGCTGCTTAATAGCAAGCATCCTCATCATTTTGTCTAATTAACAGTAAACATCCACTGTAATTGACCAGGTTTATGAAGCTATAGTGGACAATACACCAAACAGCACTGGACCACCAAACAGACACCATTAGCTTTTTTTTTTTTGAGAAATATTTGGTTTCGGACTCTTGTTTTGGCACTTCACCTTTATCAGGCCATTGTGCTGAATGCTTACAGTTGTCAAAAAGAATCAAGTTTTGGTCACATGTAACAATATAGTGTAGAAATGGTTTGCCTTTATGTTATGATGGCAAAGAAAGGCAAGCTTTGAGACCGTTTTTCTTCTGATGCTTGTTTAATTCATGCAGTACCCATCTGTCCAGCTTCTTTACCTTGCCAATTTATTTCAAATGGTCCAATATTGTTGTAATAGTAGCATCAAACCTTGCTGCTAATTCGCCCAAGGTTGAGATGGGTTCACTTCCACCATAGGTTATAGCTCCTCATTATCCACCTTGGTCTCAGGTCACCCACATGGCTCATTTTCAAGATTAAAATCACCAGAATGGAACTTCTCAAACCATCAACATACTGTGCATTCATGAGCCACATCCTTCCCAAACATTTCATTGGTATTTCCAGGTGTCTGTGCAGCAACTGGTTCCACAATGGAATTCATATTCAAAAATAACACGAATTTTTTACTTATTCATGGTTTCACAAAAAATGTTCTAAAATAATTTTTGAAAGATAATCAGAAGCCAAACGTGCATTTGAAAGAATGAGGATGTACCTTCACAATGAAAAAACAATAAGTGTCAAAGTGAAGTGTCAGAAATATCAACTGTCAAACTGAGTACTTAAGGTAATCGGACATTCCATACTTCATAACCTAATGTGTGTGTGTCTATAGTGAAGTCTAGTGTAGCTTACTACTGGCTGGCTCCAACTGATGATCTGAAGACAGGTGGCTATGCTACAAAGCAAGTGCACAGTGACCAGACTGCTGTATGGTAAGAACACAAATCACCTGCTCAGAGCTGAATTGTTATATAAATATTTACACAACATGACTTGACTTGGAATAGTATGTATGTGCTTGCTAGTTGATAAAACTCAACCAGGCTTTGATACCTCACCCTTCCCTGCCTGAGAAGCAGGGAAGAAGAATTTACTACTGGAAAGATAAGTGAAACAGCTCTTACTAGAGAACCCTCTGTATTCCTGAATTCCTATGGTTTTCAAGCTACATGTATTCTTTTCTGTCTAATCACAATTTGCAAAAATATTCACATTGTGTTAATGTCTTTTCATGGTGTCTGGAACTGGGCTGAAGGATAGACGGAAATTAAAATTATGAGGGCTGATGACATCACAAAGAGAGCAAAAGGATAGAAACTTAGAGAAAACCAAAATTTAAGTAGGACACAGAGGATTCAACTGAGAACATCTAGTTAGAAACAGGTGGCAAGGAGGAAATAAAGTCATTGTAACACATCCTTAGATTTTTACTTTCTCAGTTCTTTATCCCTCTCAAAAGGAGAAAAGATTAATTAATGATAAATATACAAATTGAGATTTATAGATATCTCTTGAGTTTCTCTACGAAAACAAGACTTAAGCAAAAACTACGACCAAGACATCAATATAAACCATAACAAAACTGAACCTAAAGAAAAATTTTCTGAAACAAACTTAATCTGAAAAGTTATGCTTTTTCCCCAAATCATTTCAGAACAATTTCTACTTAAAAAGAAATTTGATATTAATACCTTACTCCCTAAATAAATCTGGGTTTTATCAATTCCCTTCTCCTGAGGCAAACCAAGAATTATTTAGTATTTGGAATATAAAGCTCATGTTAATTAAAAACTACAGACAGTGATATAACAAAGTTCATATAAATAACTTTTCCAGTTCTTTTAAGGCTTAGACTAAAATAGTGTTCATGTTTACTCCTTAATAAAGTAAACCATACCTTTATGTTGGCTAGCATCTGCATTGAAGTTCATTTGTCCTTCTAGATGATTCTGTCCATTATCATCTGAATGCCTAGCATGAGGATCATTATGAAGAATTTTAGGCTGGGTGTCACCCTGTTCTTCCAACAAAATACTGAATAGCTGAGAACATAAAAAAAATCCTATTGCTGATCCACACAGGAAGGTTAAAAAATTCAGCCAAGATTTAGAGGCCATTTCCCGAAAGTGTATTTCTGAAAGAAAAAAATTAGCAGGATGTTATAAAATTACAAAGCAATATACATTCAAAGAGCAAAAAGTCTGATAACGTTTAGCTATGATGGAGAGTTAATTCCTTCTAAACAGAAGAACACTTCTTAACAGTATTAAATTTTTGATTTTCTATGAGTGTACCCCTCTATATGCTGCTAAAACAGCACAATATGGACAATTAAATAAAACAGAGGAGTAATTAGTGGGATAATCACTGTTGGAGTGGGGCATGGGTAAATATATATCAATATTTGCACACAGAATTCCTATTCTTCCCATCAGGATCCTTTGGGGATCCAAGCCTGCTTGTGATGTTCTTTTTCTTTCTTTGCTGTCAACTCTTGAGTACTCAAGTCTATTTTTTTTTTCTCTTTTGGTAGCAATCACCACTCTATTTCCAACCCAGGGGTTATCAAACCTTTTTTGTAAAGGACTACAAATAAAATATTTCAGGCTCTGTGGGCTACATGTGGATTCTGCTGCATCATCTTCTTTTTAAAGAATCCTTTAAAAATGTAAAAGCCATTCTTAACTTGTGGAGGGCTAGGATTAGCACAGTTTTGGGACCCATGGGCCAAAACTGGTTTGCCACCTGTTTTTGTAAATAGTTTTATTTGAATACACCCATACCCATTCATTTTTACACTGAATATGGCTGCTTCTGCACTACAATAGCATAGCTAGGTAGTTGCAACAGAGGCAGTATGTCCCACAAAGCCTTGCCTGGCCCTTTATAGAAAAATTCGTTGATCCCTGCTCTAACACTCCTGCTTCATCACAGTATTGGAGTTAGCCTCCCCCTGCTCACCATCTTTTGCTGTTTTCCCACTAAACTGCAAGATTCTGGATGGAATCTATACATCATTAGGATTAAACACGATGTCTAGAACATAGTGGCTTCTCTACAGATGCCTGTTGAACTGTCCTACAACCAAACATAACATGCCTTTTTGAGAGTTTGCTAATACTTACTATTAATACATAGTAAAGTTATAAATTCCTATTAAATTTTTATGAGAGTCCTTTTAAGTCTACAGTTTCCTATTCCCCAAGATAATTTTTAAAGTTTGCTAAGCGTCTATTATTTGCCAGGTGTTATCTGCATTATTTCATTTTAAATAAAATTTAATTTCAATTTCACTTTTGATTTTCACTATGTCCATTTGACAGATGAGGAAAGAGAAATTTTAAAAGTTAACAGAGGCTGGGAATGATGGCTCATGCCCATAATCCTAGCACTTTGGGAGGCTAAGGTGGGAGCATTGCTTGAGGCCAGAGTTCGAGACCAGCCTGAGCAAAATAGTCAGACCCCATCTCTACAAAAAAATAAAAAATAAAAAAATTAGCCAGGAGTGATGGTGCATGTCTATAGTCTTAGCTACTTGGGAGGCTAAGGCAGAAGGATCACTTAAGCCTAGGAGTTTGAGGCTGCAATGAACTTTGATCATACCACTGTACTTCAGCCTGGGCAGTGTCTCTACAGATAATTCACACAAGTTGACAGAATCAAGATGACCCACAATTTGAACCCAAGTATTCTTGTTCAAAAAGTCCATGCTCTTTCCATTACATTTCTCAAACTCTTCACCCAGTTACCATTAACAACATAGAACAACAGGCATGTGTAGTGAAAGTAGGATTCTGAGAGATTATTCTCCAAATCAAAATGGCACTGAAATATTTTATAAAAACAAATGTACAAAGCAACAATCACCGTTATAACAACAAAAATAAAACAATTTCACATGGTTATATTTCCTGATGAGCTATGTTTTTTTAGACCTATCAAGTGAATACAACCAGAAAAACTAGATGAAATTAAAAAAAAAAAAAAAAAGAAAAAAAGGTTTGGAGACATTGGTAGGATATCAAGGCAGAATCAGTAGGGCCAAGATCTCGAAGAAGAGAGGAGGACTTGACATGTGGCACACTTCCATTCTTAACACAATTACTGACTCTGAAAGGAAAAAGATAAGAGGCAATGTAGCTAAGCAAAAATCAATATTCAAAATCTGCCTAAGAGAAGATGTTCTAGAAAATACCCTGGATTTTTAATCAAGGACCCTGAGAAGCTACTACAATTTAGGAATAAGGATCAAACTAAAATAAACCAACCTTTACAAGGGCTGAAGCCTAGGCGGAAATCATCTCAGCCACTAACTGGATGTTTAAGATGATCTACCTCAGCCTTACTGCAAAAATATTCTTTTAGAGAGAGATAAAGTCACAAAGCACCTCAAATTGTTACTAGAATTTTTGTATGGTGACATACAACATCCAACACAGTAAGAAATAACCAGGCATCAATATGAAAACTGTGACTACAGAGAAAAAAAAGTAGACAACAGAGCCACAGGAGATTCAGATTTTCTGTCACTAGCTTTCAAAATAGCTATTCTTAATGTACTCAAGAAATGAAATGACAAGATTTAAAAAAATAGGCATAGAATAGATATAGCTGAAGAGAAAAATTAATAAACTAAAAGCTAGTTCAGAAGAAAATATGCAGAATGAAATATAGAAAGGAAAATAAAGAATTGAGCAAAAGAAACATAAGGAATAAAGTGAAAGCGTCTAATATACGTGTTAATTAGAACCTTTGAAAAAAGAGACATATAATTGAGGATAAGCGGTATTTGAAGAAATGACTATTTTCCAAAATTGAAAGACTTAACAACCCTCAGATTCAAGAGGTTCTACAAGCCCTAAGATTAAAAAAAATGACACCTCAGTACTCTACAAGCTACTGATAAATCAAGGACAGAGAAAAAAACTTAAAGGCAATAGTAAGATTGACAGCTGACTTCTCACTGGAAAAACAGAATCAAAACTGCAGTAAAATAGTGTTTGTAAAATGCTGGTAGAAAACAACTACCAACCTAGCATTCTATACTCAGTAAGAATATCCTTCAAAAATGAATCTGAAAAATACTTTCAGGAAAACAAAATCTAAGTGAACTGGTCACTAGCAGGCCTACTGTAGAAGAAATACTAAGAAGAGTTCTTTGGCCAGAAGGAAAACAATTTCAGATAAAAATTCAGAAATATAAAAAGGAAGAGAAAGTCATAAAAAGGGAGTATATACAAATAAACCAAACAAATGCTAGCCCTATAAAAGACTTTTTTAAAAAGTCTCACAGGATGTTAGTATTACTATTATCATTAAAACAAATGACTAGTTATTAGCACAAAAAGTGTAGGGGGCTACATGGAGTTTAAGTATTCTAAAAGCATTTCATTTCCAAAAGTGGTAAAAATACTAATTAACTTTAGACTTTACAAGACCAAGGATGTAAAATGTAATATCTAGTTTAATCATTTAAAAAAACAAAACAAAAAAAAAATTAGTGAATGTATAATTAAAACTCTAATAGGAAAAAGTGAAATGATAAAATACTTAACAAGGCAAGGTTAAAAATGGAGAAGGGAATATAGAAGAGGTGGGTTGGGGACCCAATAGTAGTAAGGTGGTTAATTTAAACACAGTATATCAACAATTACATTAAATGTAAATGGACTAAAAACTCCAATTAAAATTTAAAGATTGCCAGCCAGACTAGAGAAAAAGTAAACTCAACTATGTGCTGCTTACAAGACACACAAAAAATATATTTAGAAAGTTGAAAGCAAAAGAATAGAAAAAGATATGCCATACTAGTAGTAATAAAAAGAAACACAGTATGTTAATATTAGAAAAAAATAAATTAGGTTACATGGTTTGTTCTCTTTGTGATACTTATTAAACTCTAGATTTATGATTTACACACTTCTGTTTTAAGAGGTGCCTAATTTATAAATTACCCATCTAAAACTATTAGACACTTGTTTATGCCTTTTGCTCTATCTTATCTGTCTGTAACTTCAAGTTCAGAAAGGTAAGCCTTCATGGATGAAGTACCTAAGCCCCACTCAACAACCCCTCTCCAATCCAATTTCCCAGAGGAAAAGTAAAAACAAGTTTTTACTTTTTTGTACATATTTCTTCTGTTTTCCCTGAGTATCTCAAATTCTGCCCCCCAACCCCCTTTCTGCTATGCAGATTGGCCTTCAGTGACATCTTTATATTCAAAAGATGCAATAAAAAGAATTCCTTCTGTCTTAAGTGATTGTTTTGAAATTCTAAAAATCTCAGTTGTTTGAGGCTCAAATTCACGAGATCTAGTTCTAACCAGAAATTGTCATCTAAGATTTCAAATGGCCAAGAACACTGACTATTCAAATATCTGTTTGATATTATGTAAGTCCTCCCTTTAATAGTGTACATTATCAATACATAACCTATAATAGAGGTATCTGATGTGAAAGTACCATGAATTGAAAACACGAAGTGAAGTAAATGAAAGATATCATAACTCCTAATTTCTTATGGTAAAGACAGACTAGCAGAATAAGATTGAAGACATAAACCTGGAAGAAGGCTTTTAAGGTAACAATAGCAGAAATCTAAGAAACTGAGATGTCATTTAGGAGCCATACTGTAAGCAACTCCCCACATCTCTGATTTTCCACTGACACTCTGGCTTTAAAGCACAATGGTCTTGATTTTCCACTTTTTGTCCTAGTTGTGGCTTCCCTCACCTTAATACCAGATATACACTTCACTGTCTCAAAAAGGTACAAACATAATGAAATTTTCCACTGCTGCAGAGTTAATCACTCCCAGTACTGAAAGAGAATGCAACAGTCACAGTGGCATTTAATTCCACTCAGGCAGAAAGCATTGTAACTGAGAAAAGTAAAGACTGCAGGACCAGAGAAAATTCTTGTTTCCATCATCACACTGCATATCTGAAGGGAAAAAAGTGCCAATCCAGCTCCAGAAACTATGAATACTAACTTGCTTCCCCATCATTTTCTAAGGAGATACTGACCTTCAGCATAACCCTATTTCTATAGCATGGAGGACTTACTGTTTGTAGAAAGCTAGTGAAGTATTTATGGATAGGGTTTTCCTAGCCGAGGTGGCACTTTTTTTAGCAAG